TTCTTCTCCTGACCTCACTGGCAATACAGAATAGCTTATTAACATTTTCTTTGCAGAAACTTCTCTAAACCTCTTTCTTCCCTCAGTACTTTCCTCTCAAAACAAAACAATGCCATTTATTTCAGGATGATGGCTCCTAAACTTCCAATTATGTTGCTGTATTTCCCTCTCCCTAATTGTCAGATGATTAGCATTTTTTTAAACTGCGGTAATCAAAACTGGACATATTTTATCTTTAACCTTCAGACCACAATGTAGAAGAAGAGGTTATTTTACGCATACTACACTGCTGTCAACACATCTCAATGTTAAGGCCTATTTCTGTTCTAAGTGGTATGACACTGTTGATACACTAAGTTTGCAATCTTGTAGAAAAGTCAGACACCCTTCATTGCAGGACTTTTGCCCATCCAGCCAATTCTGTCCTTCTGCCGTAAATCATTGCTAACCAAAAGTGAAATTCACTCTTAACTGGATGCCTACTAAAGGACCTTCTAAAAGCTGGATGTCCAACCTAATTTAACTAGCCTGTACAAAATGCCTCTGATCTCAGTGAAGAGTGACAGTGCATCTCATCCCATGTTAAGACAGATGTGTGTGGAATTAAGTGCCCTCAAGAGAGGCAGTCCTCACAATTTAGCAAGGTAAACAGGATAGTTAAAGTACTGGTTTATAGTTAAGTGATGGCTATCAAATTTTCAGGCAGCTATTCAAAGTAAAATATGCCTGACATGCACTGTTCACTTTCCTCACCAATCTGAACTCTGCTCCTTGCAAACCAGAAAAAGAGCAGGAAGCATTTTTACTTTTATCACCCAATGTACTTGTGTCCCCTCCCAGCTTAATGCCTTTGGCCATGCTTGCTAAAATAACCCACCATCTTAACCAAAAGCGTTGCACAGCGCCAGTCCCAGGAGAGAGTCCTTCCAAAGAGAATCCCCCTCGCTGAAGCCCCTCATTTTGAAGTGAAGTATTAATTAATTACTCTGAATACAGAATTAAAAGCAGTTTGTTACGTAGAAGACATTTCTCCTGCTTTCTTATTAGAATGACAGTATCTCATATGAGAAAAGCCTTACTAAAAAAAAGTCAAAGCAAATGCCTGTTGCAGGAACTTTTCTCTTCCTAAATAGCTTATGACACTGACCCTAAGTTTTAGAAACAAGCACTGAGGCTGGTCCAAACAGTTTGAGAACAAATAAACATACATGAGACACATACCCCCCTGCTCTCATAATTTTGACAATAGTGGTTTTAATGATGCACAGAAATTCATTTTAAAGCCAGATTATTTTTCACAAGAGAAAAGCAAATGCTAAAAAATACTGCTACTTGGCATGCTCAAATATAAACTCTCCTCATCAGTGGTATGGGAGCTGTGGAAAGCACTGCCAAGGTACTGCAAAACAGTTCAAGTATCAGTCAAGCAAGAATTCCCGGAAAAGGGGTAACTATGGAATGGAAAGGAGTACTGCACCATCCGAAGCTACCACCCATGATAAACAGCCTCATATCAATCCTGTTCCTAGAAAGCAATCCACAAAGCTCTGATAACAAAGATAGCTCACTTGCATGGCTGTCCTTGCACTGACTACGCTGTCCTGAGCTTTAACTGCTTTCATGTACAAGTCCTGTCCTGCTCACTCTCAGGCAATTGTACAGATTTACTAAATCTTTGCAAAAGAACACAGTAGATCCTCTTCAGTAACCAAAGAACAAAAACAGAAGTGCATTTTGTACATCTTCAGCTTTAGTAAAATTTCCTTTTAAGAGTTAGCCATTTTAAATCTGCATCACTGTCACACACATGCTAATGGGAAACTGCTCTCCAAGCACTGTTTTTATATATTATACAACAGAACTCATAATTTCTGACTACAAAGTGCTACACATTGGGCATTTAGGGTTTTTAAATACGGGTATTCTGAGGTGCATTTACATGCCAGACCTGAAAATGCCATGCACAACACCTAAAGCTGCATCTAAACCTGGATATCTGATTTCTGCTCTGAGATGCATTTTTTTACTTGAGTTTAGCATGTATGTTCTTGATTAATTTTGTTAATGACCTACAAATGCCCATTATATTTACAGACTGAAACACATCTAATTCTCTTATTGTCTTCCTATCTGTACATGTACAAATCTTTGTAGACATAATTTTGTGGGATTTGAACAAAGAAACTGATTATTCTTTGCAGCTGATGTGCAGGTGGACAGCTTGCTTTCCACAGTTCTCTATTCCTTACCTGGTCTCTATTCCTTATGTAGAGGGATTTTTTTATTATACTACAGCTGTAGAGCCCTCTGCCTCCTCAGTCAACTAGTCTCAAGTCCTGCTGCCCAGGTTGCTGAGATGTCCTCCAAATGCAGATGTCTACTCCCTACTTTTTTTTTTTTTTTTTTTAAGTGGTGAAAAACCCTGCCTAGGTTTCATGACCTAAGACGAATTTCAAACAGATCAGAAAAGGTTTTAAATAGAGCAAGAATATTTTTTTTAATATTTTAACCTGAAATTCACGAAGTATCTTCTTTTTTCTCAACTCAACGCTAACAGTTATTGACTCAAAGTAACTAGATATGTATTTTGCAGATCTTAGTAATGTACTGGACATTATAAATCTGCTTTGTCTACCAAGTGCAAGGACACAGATTTGGTTATCATGTAGAGAAGTGGTTTGAGAGTACCTTACAGATTTCTTGACTACTCTTCACAAGACACTGATGGGAGGTCAACAGCTGTTCTAATCAAAGCTCTTCAATATCACAGTGCACAAGAGAAAATCTTAATTCATGGGAACTTTATATTGTTTGCATCACACCAGAAAAAGTATAAAAACCCAAAACAAGCACCCTTCTGCCCACCGAACACCCACCCACTACCACCACCCTTACTTCTTCAAACAAGTCAAGCATATACCCAGCTAACTTTTTATGAAGGTAATGACAAAAACTTGAGTTGAAGACAAGCAGCTAGATCATCTCATCTATCCTTGGGATAACAAAGGAATGACCAGAATATATATTGTAGCATTTAGTTTGGTTTGAATATATCAGAACAGCACAGACTACATAAAAATTTATTTATCTTTCAGCACTGCACTCTCCAAATGTATGTATAGATTTCTGTTACATCTCCTACAGACCATCACTTATATTTATTTTAAATTGAAGACCACAGTTCTGAATAGTGCTTCAGGATTTTACTGGCCTTCAATACCCAGCATTTGTTCTGTAGTAGGAAAACCACAATGGAGCAGGAGTGTTGATGCAATAAAATCTTCATTTGTACATAAGAGTTGTCAGAACCATAAAGCAGTAATAGAATACACTCAGAGTCATCTGTGTGATCTAAGATTACAGGCATATAAAGCTTAACACTGAGATTTCTACTAGTAGAGTATGAGCTGCACTAAGCAAAAGCTCTTACGTTCTAAAAATAAAGTTAATTTGATTAACTCATCATGGAAACAAAGCTGCAAATGACTAAACTAATTTGCTATTCCTATCTTAGACACCTGGTACCTAATATGTACTCAAGCTATATGCAGAGCAATAGACCAAACAACTACTAAAAAAGCCCCACCAAAACCAAACCTATAAAAACAATCAATGCTTGATCCGGTTTAACTAAATACTGTTCTACTTGCCAAAACACTGTCCTTCATCAACTGTAAACCCCACGGTTCTGCCAACTGCTAACCCTTTCAAAGAGGAAAGGCCTACTTTATCCATTTGTTATATACAAAATTGCATTAAGGAAATAATTTCCATGAAGCTATAAACCTGAAATGGTCAGTTTCACAGGGTTGGGTTTTTTTTGTTTCAGTAGATAAGAAGTGATGTCTAACTTTATTTCCAAACTTACTCTCTCAGCTATTTTTTTCTACTGAAACTATTAGCCAGCTAACTAGGAGGAAACAAAGAAAAAATTAAGCCTTTTTAAGAAAATAGGAAAGAAATCTTTCATGTTTTAAGAGCAAAACCCAAACAAGTATTGAACAAGTATTTCACCCATCTTCTCTGCCCAGTATTAACAAAAAGCTTCACTATACTTTATGCTAAAAACGGGCTGTTTAAATGTTTTTTTGCTTTAGCTCAGAAGACAAATTGTTCAGTTTATACACATAACTTACTCTTTAATACCTTTATTATTCTGAGATGCTTAAGTAGGAACCCCAGAGCTGGCCTCTAAACCACTGCAAGGAGCAAGAGGAGGAACATGAAGGTGCATAAAGGAGCAACAGGCAGCAGTCTTTGTAGGAGAGCACTTCCAGGCACAGAGCCTATTAGTACTTCCCTCATGAGGAAGAAATATTCCTCTGCAAGACCTTTATTTGACAGTGTGGGGCCCCGGCAGCAATAGGAAACTAAGAAGAAAACCAGTCCTGCTTACACTGAGCTCTGGAAAAAAAAAAAAAGCAAAAGCAAAAAAAAAAAAGCTGGATTTGTCCTCTGAATCAGCTAACAGCACAATGCTGCATCCTACTTATTCAGCAATACCTCAGGCTGATACTGTCACCCAAGTTCTCACCCCATGCTCAAACCTTGTCCTCAATAGTCAGAAGGTCCCTACCCTGACAACAGATCCACTAGAAAAAAAAACCTTAATTGCTCAATTATGCAGATCTCATTCACTAATCTTCCACAGAATATGTGACTTCAGTACACCTATCCTTACTAATGTACATGAATACAGAGCAGAAAAAAAAAAATCCAACATGGCTAATATTTCACACATTTATTTGATCTTCAGTGATTTCACTGACAGAGAAGCCTGTTAACTCTCTTTCTATACTTGATGGGAGAAAGGCAGTGTTTCTTTGTAGCCACAAAGCCTGCAGAGTTATTTAGATTTTGTCAGACAGATTTTGATCGTTTTGAACAGGAACAGAAAAAAGTTACTCCCAGGTAGTGAACTGAGAGAAGAATCTGGCTCAGCCTATCCAAAGTAATATTTAGAAAGTTGTTATCTAGAAAGCACATAAAAATAAACTTGCCTTCCATAAAGATCCTGTTCCAGTAGATTTTTCCAACATGATTTCCTCCAAGAAATATTAGATTTGATAAAATCAACATTGAAGTGCTAACAGATGCTAGGACAGCATGAAGTCGACGACGAATTCTTGGTGAGAAGAAATGCTCCTGAGGGTCAAAACAAAACATGCAGATGAAGTCAAGAAACCCTATCATTTTTCAACCAACGTTAGAAAAAGACATGGTAGCTATGACAGACAATTTTCATGCAGAAGTTCAAATCCTTATGAAATACACCCCAAAGCTTTTAAAATATCTAGCAGAACTCCCACCAATGTCATTTAAGTTTGGGTAGGATTTCACGATAAAAAGTGATGTTGAATCATACTTGAGGTTGGAAGAGACCTCTAGAGGTTACCTAGAAAGGTCATCAAAGTAGGGTCAGCTAGACCAGGCTGCTCAGGACTGCATCCAGTTGGGTTTTGAATATCTCCAGTGATGGAGACTGCACAACCTTGCTGAGAAAACTATGCTGGTGTTTGACTACCCTCACAATAAAAAATTTTTTCTTACACTTAAGTGGAATTTCTTCTATTTCAGTTTGTGCCCATTCTGGCTTTGTCTTCCTCCTCCTTACAATTAGGTATTTATACACATGGATAAGATCTCCCCGAGCCTTCTCTCCTCCAATGCTGAATAGTCCCAGCTCTCTCAGCCTCTCCTCACATGGCAGACACTCCAGTCCCTTCACCATCCTTGTGGCCCTTTGCTGGGCTGCTCACGCCAGCATGTCCATGTCTGTCTCGTAGTGAAGAGCCCAGAACTGGACACAGTTCTATACATTCTATGTCTTTTTTTTTTTTTTTTTTTTTTTTTTTTTTTTTTTTTTTTTTTTTTTTTCTTACTAAATGTACTCCTTGGCAAATTTTTACTGATGGATGTAAACAGCAGCAACATGCTTCTGGGGTTGATAATACTATCCAATAGGTTCCAATATGGAGTAAAGCACTTCAGTACAAAACACACATCATCAAACAACTTCAGAAGTCAGTAATGCTTTGGTTGATTAATAAGACTTCACTGAAAGATTCCAGAGTCAGATCAGAACTGGTTATCTCAATTAATTCAAATAAACAGATACTTCCGTATAAAAAAAAAAAAAAGATTTAAATACACATGCAACCCCCCTTTTTTTTTCAGTGAAAATATTACTGCTCATGTTTAAGAAGTATAAATAACTGTTTTAAAGTTTTAGTACTGCTGTTGTAGCAACACAAATAAAGTAGGCCTCTTTCTACCATATGCTAGTTCACATTTTTCTGATTCTATATTTTGTACTATCACCTGAGGTGTAAGTGCAACACAGAGACTGCAAGAAGACAGTGAAAGAAGGATGAGAAAGTTTTAGCTTCCTCCAATATTCAGTTGTTAGAACAAATACTAAAGAGCATTACAGCACATCACAAAGAAATATTATCTTACTATTGGAAAATGAAAAATATCTTGTTCAATATGGCTCCGGGCTGAAAGTCTCTTTACACAGTGCCTGAATCTGCAAAAAGACTGAATGCTTTGTGTGAAGTGATAAGCATTTTCCAGAGCATGGGAATGAAAGAAAAATATCAGGAGTGCCTCAGCCTTCACATCACAAATGGTGATGTTGCAGAAAACAAAGTCTTGTGACTGCAGCATCAAACAAAAGGAGCAGTAATTAATCTTTAATAGCTGCAATCAGATTCATGCTCAGATACCTAAACCAACATAAACACATACTTAAAACAGACCTAAAAATACATTCATAGACAAATAAATGCTAGCTTTGTAAGCATCAAAACAAATGTTTCAACTGCTAAACTATAAAATGACAAATCTTCAAAATAAATGACAGTTACAAGCATAAAAATACTATTTTAACATATTACTGCAAAGCAGATCTCTGGTAAATTGAATGTTAGCCCCAGTCAGAACTATATCTAGTGTATGAGTCTGAGTCAGCACAAAACTAGGGATAGATAAGCTTCAAGGAAAAGTACTCTGTATGCATAATACAGCAATGGTCAGTCTTCCATACAACACTATGAAAAACATACATGTCTGAAAACAGAGACAGATTTTTCTCTAAAAATTTTAGATGAAAACTATATCATCATAGGACAAGGATAGAGAACATAAGATAACCATAATTATTCACAGGAAACAACAGTTAGTGAAGGAACTTTTTCCCTTTCTAGTACTGCAACTCCAAAGCTGCCCAAGGACTTCCAAAACCTTCTCCCTCAGAAGATATCTTTAGTTTGACTCTTCCTGAAATGCACACTATGAATGCATGGCTCCATACATGAAAAATGTACGCCTTTTCAGAATGCATTAGTGTATTCAGATAGAGATATTAAAAATTTTGCTACTAAATCCATATTAACAACCAAGTTTAAGTAAGAAGCAGTTATGATCATGCCAGCTTGAACTTTTGTGTTAAGTCACCAAACTTACCCTCTTCTTATACCATGCTAATTAATTCTGATTGAGCTGTAGCTTATCTACAGAGCATAGTCTATCATCAGATTTACCCTTCACTCTCCCTTTGCCTATCAAACTTCTTCATCAACTCTACAGAGAAACAGTTTTAATTAGTAAAGGGGGGAAAAAAAGAACCTTGTGGTAGAGCTGTAAGAAAGATTTAAGAGATGGACAACCCACCAGAGAGCTGGTGTTGGACTGCATTTTCCACCAAGGCACTGATTAGACTTGGTTAAGTTTGTGAGGTCTGCCTGTTTTGCAACCCAAAGCAGCAAAATGAAGACAAACAGGAATAGCTAAAAAAGCTCTGCCGCTTTTTTTTTAAAATGATAGTTACTAAAAAACCCAACCTGTCACATATAATATGTCACCCTCTACAAAAGTGCTTATGTGTTAAACAATCTAGACTAACTGTAGTACAGACCATAAAAGCCTTTGGTCATTTATAAGGTATAAGGGAGTAGTTTAAAACAGAAACTGTTTAGGCAAACATTGAACCCTTTCTGGGTTTTGCTGTAGCTAATTTCCATTAACTTTGCTAGGCACTGATCCAAAAATCAGTAGACATTTTCCTGAGAGTCTCTGATTTCAATGCAGCTTTTAGCCAGCTGCAACAAAGGTAAAAAAAGAAAACGTTCTTTAAACATCTCATGTCATCTAGAAAAAGCTAACTATGAAAGTACCTGAGCAGCTACTGTGCTCAAATAAATAAACTGGAAGCATTAATTTACCCATAGAAAAGGAATAAAGCTGGTCTAGACAATCCATAATAACATCTGTGATTTAAATATCTACCAGCATGTGGATTTTTCTGAATATACAGCAAGTTGTTTTCATCAAAGCAGACAAAATTAAAAAAACCCTCCACACCCACAACTCTTCATTATGCTATTTAATGCTTTTAACAATATGTTCCCATTGCAACAATACAAGCAGCTGCTATGGATTTGTCGTGTTTCTCTGGATTTTACTGCTGTCTCTTTCTCTCTCCCCTTTTCCTGTTGGAAATATGGCCAGAAGATAGTGGCAAAAGAGCACCTGGTGTTAAAATGACAATGAAGCTGTGGCTGCCTGGCTGAAATCCTAATATTTACATCCTTCCTCAATGCTCCATCTTACTTGTAATCTCACATCAATACTTCATCATGCTTTACTTTTAGTAATCACCACCATCCCCACTTCCCCACACACTGTGACTGGACTGTAGCATTTAAACTACACAAAAAAAGAGACATATTGTCAAGATACTCAGTCCAAAGGCATGCAACATGACACAGGAGGTGACTCAGAAAGGCTGTTTCAGGTCACCTTTCCTGGAACTGAATGAGAGTTTGGGTTTTTACTCCAATCCAAACCCTGCTGTAAACGAAGGCCAGCTTCAGATATTTTTGCCAGTTTTTGTGAAAAGCCTCTCTCTTAACACTGTTGGGTCTAGCAAAATCGGCTACCATCAGACCTCTCTCAAATTGGCCTTCTCAGTTATCTTACAAAACCACTATCAGGTAGTGCGGTACCTTGAAAAGTAAAATCTGTGTATGTGTTTGAGAGGGGTGGAAGAAGACAGGCATGAAAAGGATTTGCACAGTCCAAACATTCCCATTCCTAAACCTATTCCCAGTTACACATGCATGTCACATTTAGTCTTTAAGTGAAAGACAAGCCACAAATAGGAAGCTTGTACAACCGTTGTTTCTTGAGAAAGATAGCTTATGAAGGACAACATGCACCAGAATAGATAATTTAGGTTAGAATTAAGAGTGAAGTTAAATGACATAGTGGAATTTTGAAGTCAGAGGGGATGTGAGAGAAAATACACATTTCATTTACTTTTGCAAAGCAATTACACCACTATATGTGAGAAACAACCAAACATGGCAGAAGACAGCAGAACATCATTTAAAAGAACTTATCTCTAAGATGAGTTAGAGCTAACAAACAGTAAATTATCATTTTTACTGATTTACAGGACTGTGTGTAACAATACAACTGAATGCCATGGAGAGATGAAATTGAGGGTCCAGAAGTGCTTTTCCTAAATGCATTTACATCTACTAGCTAGACAACAACAGTGAGAATACTTTGGGGAATACTGACCAGAATAAGTCATCCACCCTTCCACGTGGAAGTTGAGGAGATACCTGAGATGGAATTCAGTACAGCTGTCAAACTAGGCAGTCCTATACAAAATATCAGGCTAAAGTCTTCTTTTACAGAAATATATTCTCCAGTATATTATCAGAGACCCAATCCTACATCTTCCTACAGCAACCATTCTTAAACTTTTTCTAGCAACAGTGGTGGCACCATGGTGATTTGGCACGTCTCAAATGCTCGTTATTCAGAGAGCTGCTGAATCCATTTGCAGTAGCTTGTTCTGAGAGGAGGTCACATGCATCACGCTGTTTTTAGCAACTGGGTTGCATGTTTTCCCCCACACTGCAAACCCACCCTGATGACAGGGTGACATGTGGCAAGAAGCCTCCCCTGACAGACAGTAGCTGGTAACTTCCTGGCAAGTGCTCAGAAGATGGAAAATAGCTATGCATGCTGCATTCGCAACGCATCTCATTTATATAGCTGCTCTGGGACAGATTAAAGAAAACTTCTACATAAAGTCAGTGATGTTATCAAGCTTGTTCATACTAAAAATA